CAAATAAAGGTCTTTGTCAATTTACTTTTACTAAGTTATTATCAAATCCTCTACGCCTTAAATTCTCTACTGATCCCATCAATAGTTATGAATTAATCAAATTATTAATTTTGTTTGAAAAAATTTGGTTTGGAAACCTGATGGCTAAATCAAAACAGTTGATATTGCAGACAACCACTCAAAATTTAGATTCAAAACGTAGCTTTTACCAATCAAAAACCAACATTTCCTGAGACTGGGTTGCAACATTCTGCAACTTTGATTCATTTACCAAAACGATTCCCATCCCTTGCATGTTTTCAATAACATTTTAATTTCTTAATTCTCGTCCAGATGAGCCGGTTGATGTATTTGTCCCATAAGAAAGACAACATTTCCTCACTCAATGTCCTTAAAGGAACCAAAAAGAAACAACTTTTTTTCACAGAGTGAGACTATAATAAAAATGACCAATTAAAATAACAGTAATAAATTATAGCCAGGTTTTTTAAATCTATATATATACTTTCTTTGCTGGAAAAAGTTGTTAATATAGAAATACTAACAAATGAATATTTCAGCCTTTTGCTTACCAAAATGTTGTGATGACTTTGCAGACTTTGGAGCACTGCAACTGCATCTGAGTTGACTATGAACTACAGCGTTGTATATTGTATCCTCTCCCAATTTATTCTGTTTATATCTTCAGTTCTTCTAGAATGGTTAGCTGAAGGATAAAAACAAAATTCATGAGCAAATTTCCGCTAGTCCGTTTTTAATTGGCATTTAATTGTCTACTGCTCAAAAGACCAAGACATGAAACTCTAAAACTATTGGTACTGTCCAGAGAGGTCACATAATAATATTATTATGAGGTTAGCTTTTTAATTTGCAACTAATGGCAAGTTTGATTTTTATCAAACATTGCAACAATTTCACCCACTAAAGATAAGCTGGATTATGTGTACTAAAGACATCCATGGTCGAGTGCCAATCGATACCCTTGATCGATACTCTCAATCGACACCTCGGTTGACACTCAATCTACATTTCTATTACTCAGTTTTGCAAATGTCACAGGGTAGGTGCATTTGATCACCTGGTATGACACCATTCTT